GAGCCTGGTCATCTGGTGGAGATGAGCAACTCCCCAGACAGTGTGAGAATAAGCAAGTAGATCCTGATGGATCCCTACAGTCTCATTACTTTATAGTCCCACATTCACTCAACAAACACTTGCTCAGCATCCAGCATATGCCTGGGCTCTGTGTGGGCATCGGGCTACAAAGATCTTCCTCTCCAAGAATCAAATTAGGTATGAAGGATGGCCCAGTCCAAAGGTTATTGAGTGGGAACTCCTCGTTACTTGGAAATTGGTACTATGTCCCACAGCCAAAGCAAACAGGGCCTGTGTACCCTGCATTCTAAATGGTGCCAGATGCATTGCCTGCAAGGTTTACGAAAGGGGGCAGGACTGGCCTTACATCCCCTAGCTAAAAGCTCACTTCCCTCTTCCTTGCCCAATAATAATACCGGCAAGGGAGGAGTTCTTTGGTTTTACTGAGAAGTATAGTGTTTACCGTGAAAGATAGTTCTCTTCTCTCCCCTCTTCAACTGGGAGTCCCTTCTGGAGATTGAGGGGTGACTGCAAGAAGGGGGTACCAGGATGCTGTTCCCCAATGGGGGTCTACTTGACAGTGGACTTGCTGATGTCCCCCTGTGCCTATCTGAGCAGGGGAAAAGAGAGGTGGAGAGAGGAGTCACTGTGGAGTAGCTGACCAGGATGTGTGAGTTTTTTGGAGTCAAGTCGACCCTGCGGTAGTTAGCTAAGCTCTTTGGCAACCCCACCCAACCAGGCTGATTGCTGAGCAACAGGGTCCCACCAGAGGCAGAAGCCTAGGCGGTGGGACAAGGTAGGGAAGCTCAAGCCTGAGCTGGATGGCCACTGCCAGAAAACTGTGCAGTGGAGAAGCCCACAAGAAATATACTCATGTGGCCCATGAGAAACCATTTATGAGCACCTTCCACTCCAGGTTAGCCAGGGAAGCAGGGTCAACCAACAGGGAGGGGCTATTGCAGAGCTATTCCCATTCCCTCCTCCCAATTTCAGTAAGGGGGAGGGGGCTGGGGCATGTTTCCCAACGAGGCTATGCCCCCTCTCCCCCACCTTTTATTCAAGCAGGCCGGATCCTGGCTCAATTCAACCCTTGGATGAATAAGGGGAAGACAAAATGAGATTTAAATTGAGTTTGAGAATAAAGCTTTCAAGGATGGAGGTTTAACAACAGAAAGTGATCCAAAAGTAATGCAATCTGCCCAAGATGTCATTAAGGGATGGAAAAGGGAAATTCAACACAGCATGGCTGAAGGTAGAGATTAGGGGGAAAAGCTTCATTATTATGCCCCATCAAGTTGAGTCGCCTCAGTACAGTGGTTCCATGAGTAAACAGAATAATTGAAATACAGTGTGGTGGGGCTGGAGGCTTGCTTAGGTAAGCAGCCATAGGATTCTGAGAGGGCACAGGGAGGTAGGTGTAGGTGTGCACATTCCAGGTGGCTGTTCCAGAAGGGTTTCCAGAGAAGCGGCACCTGAGTTGAAAGATGAGAAGGGGTTGATCTGAAGAAAGGAGAGCGAAGAAGGGCTTTCTGACAGAGGTCACAGTGCAGCCTGGAGCAGAAAGTTGAAGGCAGGAGGACAGAGATGCAGCTCAGTGAACCCATGAGCTTAAGGAGCGAGGGCTCTGGGGAGTTGCTTCAAATCTAAGAGCAACAGCTGCTGGGTATTTACCCCAAAGATACAAATGTACAAATGTAGGGATCCGAAGGGGTACGTGCACCTCGATGTTTATAGCAGCAATGTCCACAATAGCCAAACTATGGAAAGAGCCAAGATGTCCATCGACAGATGAATGGATAAAGAAGATGTGGTATATATCTACAATGGAATATTATGCAGCCATCAAAAGGAATGAAATCTTGCCATTTGCAACGACGTGGATGGAACTGGAGGGTATTACACTGAGCAAAATAAGTCAATCAGAGAAAGACATGTATCATATAACCTCACTGATATGAGGAATTCTTTATCTCAGGAAACAAACTGAGTGTTGCTGGAGTGGTGGGGGGTGGGAGGGATGGGGTGGCTGGGTGATAGACACTGGGGAGGGTATGTGCTATGGTGAACGCTGTGAATTGTGTAAGACTGTTGAATCACAGACCTGTACCTCTGAAACAAATAATACATTATATGTTAAAAAAAAAAAAAAAAGAAGATAGCAAGAAGGGAAGAATGAAGGGGAAATCGGAGGCAGAGACGAACCATGAGAGGCTATGGACTCTGAGAAACAAACTGAGGGTTCTAGAGGGGAGGGGGGCGGGGGGATGGGTTGGCCTGGTGATGGGTATTAAAGAGGGCACATACTGCATGGAGTACTGGGTGTTATACGCAAACAATGAATCATGGAACACTACATCAAAAACTAATAATGTATGGTGATTAACATAACATAACAATAAAAACAAACATACAAACATCTAAGAGCAACACAATGGGGTTTGCGTATTAGAATCTTCTGCTGACCAGATTCTGATTGTGCTGTGGACTTGACCTCCAGGCCTACTTCTTACCCATCCACGTGGCTCTGGAACCCCTACTCCCCTGCAAAGGCCATTTTCTGTTATTCAAAATCCTGGGTCCCCACTCTTTGGAATGTCCTTTGCCCTACTCCTATCATTGAACCCACCCTCCCCATAAATCATCTTTTCTCTTTCCTCTTCCAGCGTACTCTGCTCAGCACAGGAAGATTCTATGCCTTCTCTTGGCCTGTCCCCGCCAGCACACATCTCCTTTGGATATGCATATACTAAAATATCTTCCCTTTATCTTATCTGTTCTTCGCCCCATGGGGCAACCCGAAGGCTACTATTTATTCTTTCACACATTAATTTAAGCTGCTTTAATTGTGGCTATAATACGTTTTATAAAATATAATTAATGTTTTAATTCTGTGTACTGGCTTCCCAAGGCAGTTTTGTGAAGGGTCCAATTTTGGAATCAAGCAAATAAAGAATAAGTAACGGCTGAAGTTATTATAGCAACGCCCTCCCCCCCCAAAGGAATTAAAACTGTACTTGCTTTTTGAAGTGGATTAAAAAGGGAAAAGAGAGTTTAATGTTCTCTTCATCCCAGGCATGTTTGGATGGGTTTTGTGAAGTTCTCTGGACTCTGATTTCAAGTGTTCCTGGCTTATTGGTGTCTGACCACCAGCTTGAGGTATGTTGGACTACCAACCAGCTTTGCACCTCCTGTCCCCACATCCTTCTTGATGGAGGGTGTGCTGGGAATGAGAAGCTACTGAACCCACTTACTCATTTATTTGTTCAGCAAGTGTGTATTGGTGTCCTATTACATGCCCAGGACTGGGATGAATTCAGTCCTGCCCTCAAGATGCTCCCAGTCCAGTGGGGCCAGAGAGATGGAGTTCTAGTCCAGCACACTAATGCTGCAGGGGGAGCTAAGGTGGGGTGGAGCGACTACCTCTGTCTCAGGGAGTTAAGCGGAGGCTTAACTGAAGAGGAAGCGAAATTTAAACTGGTTCCAGGAAGGAGAGGGGAAAGAAGGAAACAGCAAGACACAGTAAAAAGAAAAGTTTGAAAATGGGGAGAAGGAGAGCGTGGTGGAAACCGGTGTGCATGGGAGGACATGGCAGGCAGTGAACATGGGCAGACAGGTGGGGGTGGAGTGCAGAAGGCTTTCTGTGTCATGAGAAGGAGTTTGGACCATCCTGAGGGTGGGAGCCCAAAGAAGTTTTTCAGCAGAGAAGTGTCCTGATCAGATCAGATCTGGGATTTGCAAAGAAAACTGCAATAGGATGAATAATGTCGGGGGGTGTGTTGGTTGGGAGTTGCCTGCTGGCCCATAGTAGGGGCTCAACAGGCACCTAGTGAATGAGTGAGGCCATTGAGACAGCCCACGCAAGAGATGATGAGCTTCTGAATTAGTGGCACGTGTTGGAAAGGAGGGTGCCCTTTGCAGCAGAAGCCAGGGAAATGGGGTTAGCAGCCCCTTCCTCTCCCATCCTCCCTGATCTATGCAAGCAGGACTTTCGGCCTGCCCCAGAAATGCAGAACTTGGAGGGTCATCACCCCAACAACTGTCTAGTTCAAGCTCCTCAGATTCCACTGGGGACAACAGAGGCTCAACCGAACGCAACCCATCAGAGTCAGAGCCTAGAACAGAATTCAGGAGTTCCATGCTGTGGAGTAGAGAGTGTTAACATTGGTTGAAGAATGGCTTGGAGGGCCAGAACCCGGGAAATGTAGGCACAAGGGTGTGGGGGTTTCTGCAGAACGAGAGGGTCCCGAGTCCCCGGAGATACTCGTGGGGTTCCACGATCCCACGAAAGGCTGATGTACTACTCTAATTGCCTATCTCTAGCCGCCGGACGGGAACCGGGATGGAATAGACTCTGGCGGGGACGCATGGGTGCATGGATGGATGGATGGGGAGGCTGGGACGCTGCGCCCACTCGAGGGAATTTCCCTTGAAAGAGAGCGAAACTTTAAGCTGGTAAACTCCTTTCCTTCAAACGCCCTCCTTTTCCCCACACCCCAGCTGTGGCCTTCCCGTTTTCAGGGATGGGGGGAACTTCCTCAGGCCTCTCCATCCGCGGTGGGGACACTTTCGCTTCTGTCGGAATTCCCGGAGGCTGCCGGGGAGAACCGTTGGTGGGGGGGGCTCCCTGGGACGTCTTCACAGCACGTGGGTGTTTCCTCTCCTTTAGCTCTCCGGGAAGACTGCTAGCGCCCCGCCCTCTTCAGCTTGGCCTCTGAGCCCCAGGGGCGAGGAGGAAGTACTCTTCTTGGGGCCACGCGCCGTCTCCCGCGCCAAAAGCGCGTCCCTAAACTCCCGGGAGAATTAGACTCCGGGGAATGTCCAGGGGAAATCCGGGTGCGAAGAGTAGTCAGGAGCTCCGCCCCGCCCAAGGAAGCTGACCGCGATTGGTCCCTGGAGACCCCGCCCATATCCTGGGCGGGGCGGGGGAGGGCACGGGCTGGAGGAGTTACTAGAGGTCCAGTCTCCGCGCCGCTACTCCGCCGCCTGGTATTCACATCGCCATGGTCCTTCTGCCTCTGCGCTGTCTCTTCTGGGGCTTCTTGTTGACCGCCGTGAGTTGAGTTTCTGCTCCGACCCGACAGGGGTTTTGGGGATTTGAGAGTGGGGAATGGGAAGAGAAGAAATATTTCGGGGAAGGGACCTTCCTAGCTGATTTTGGGAGGACAGACAGGTGGGTAGAGAAGCTGGGTAAGGTACCCCGGGTCCTGGTTGTACGAGGTAGGCTGCCTCTGTCTCCTTCCAGGTTGGGGTCCCAGGTAGCCCACAGAGGGCGCGTAGTGGGGGCACTGCAAAAAACGTGCACCTATGGCGTGGATGGCGTTGGGATTTGGGGAGCCTCAAGCTTTTATTTGGTCAAAAGGCTGCAGTCTCGGTTTGCTTTAGAGGCTGGCCGCACGGAGACTGGTGAGGGGTTTCAGAGGCGAAGAGGGAGGCCCGGCAAGGGAAGAGGCAGGTCTGGCCGGTTTCCTGTCCCTTTTCCATTGCGGACAGATGCCAGCCTCTGTGAGTGGTTATCATATCCTGGCCACCTGGGGATGCCTTCTTCCAGGGTATCTTTTGGGAACAAGGGTGGGTGCAGGGGCCTAGGTACTTTGAGAAGTCAAGGAGCTTTTAACTCTCCCACCCCCACCCCCAAATCCTGAGTGATCCAACCTAGGAGGAATACCCAAGACTGTGTCTCTGCCTCTCGAATTTAAGATGATATAGGAGACCTCTGGGGGGAGATGAATAGTTCATGGGACCCAAGAAAGGGTTAGGAGACCAGCCGGGGTTTCTCCAGGCACCAGAAAGTCTCAGTTATGCCCAACCAAGCATGTCTCCGGGATTTTCAGAAGCCTACACTTGACTCACTTTTTGTTTAAATGTATTTTTGTAGTTCCTCATTCTGGAGGCTGGGAATCCCCCAAGTACCTGACCCTCTCATCCCAACCCCTCCAGCCTCCCCCTACTTTCAAAGGCTGTAGTTCCTGGCATGAAGTCTGAGTAGGAAAGACCCATGGAGGGGTTGGGGAGGGGAGTCAGCAGCAGGGGAAGAGTCAGTGGGGAAGCTGCTTTGGTCCCAGAACTTTCATTTTCACTCTAAGCAATGGTTCTTAGGAAGAAGGGAGGCAGGAAGAAGGTGGAGCTGGAGGGAGGAGGAGGAGAAGGAGGACTCTTATAGGAGGGATTGGAGGAAGAGCCAGGGGAGGTAGCGTGAAGGGTGATCTGGGCTTCTCAAGAGCACACTGCCAGTTTTGCCTCCAGGCAGAGACTGGGTAGTGGCAAAAATAGCAGGGGCTATTTATGAGAGCTTCCCATGTCAGGCTCTGAGCGAAATGCTTCACAGGCATTCTTGGTCTGATTTTTTTCAACTCCCCCATTATACAGATAAGCAAACTGAGGCTCAGAGAGAGGAAATAGCTTGCCAGAGTTCTCATAGCTAGGTGGAACCTGGATATAAATCCACATCTGCCTGATTCCAGAGCCGGCCTCTCCGAGCCTTGGTCCTGAGCTTCTTTGTGTCAGAAGGACTGGAGCTATGGAGTGGGAGCTGGGGATTGACAAACTTTCAGAGAAGGAGCTGTATTTCTCGTGGGTTTGAAAATGGCACAAGGGACATTCGTTGCTTTGGGAGTCTGGTGGGAAGGTCCACAGGGTTGCAGGAAGAACATTCACAGGATGTGGTAGTGGAAGCGACAGACCTTTGTATTTCCTTCCCCATTTGGAATAAGATGCTTCTCTGTAAGTAATTTTCTCACCCAAGCTGAATGAGAGCCACCAGTTAGGCAGAATCCAGGATGTTAGTCATCCCAGCAGATAGTCACATATATATGATAATTAAAACTGCCGTTTAAATGAGCCCTACTATGTGCTAGCTCCTGGGCCAGGCTCTATACGTATATTCATTCTGATTTTCACAACCTTATCTGTGGAGTGGGCACTACTCCCATTTTAGAGATGTGGAAACTGAGGCTAAGAAAAAAAAGTAACTAGTGAGCGATACAAAGGCAAGATTGGAGCCTTAAGCTCTTTGACTCTCAAGCCTGTGCTCTTTTCACTGGCTGTTCCCAAAGTGTGGCATGATTTTAGGGAACACATGGATATAGAACTAAACAACAGAAATTCACTTTACACTTCTATTAAAATACTTCCCCCCCCTTTTTTTTTTTCAAGGAGCAAGTCTCTGGAGCTAGAATAAAGTTAAAACCTCTCCAGCACTTGCTAATCCTTCTTTTTAAACAAAAACCAAGAGCAGGCTTGGAGAGGAGGACTATCAGCAAGCGGAGCGACCAGCTGGGTTTTTAATAACATTGCTGCACTTCTGTTGAATTTATTTTTAGGGTTACCTTTTATTTATGAGAAGCGATGCTGGCTCTTCTCTCATGGCAGTGATATAAGGTTTATATGTAAAAATCATTGTATTTAAATTAATGAGAAGTAATTAATAGCATGGGTGGTACCTGGATGGAGTAAAAATAGCGCAGGCAAGACCTAAGTTGATGGAGAGGGGGCAGTATTGAGACCTGAGTTCTCATCAGATTCTATCGCTATGTGACCCTGGGCAAGTGCCCCATCTCCGTGGTCCTTAGGCTAACCATTTGCAAAGCAAATGCATTGGATTTTAGTCCTTCCAGCTTCACAGTCCAGGCATTTCATGAGGGAGGGGTTGGGTGATCAGAGGATCGGATGATGAGGGTTTGGAGAGGGAAAGGGGTGGGGAACAGAAGAATAGAAGGAAACCACCAAGTGCTAAATATAGCCCCAGCCAGAACTAGGACCAGCTGAAACCAGCCAGCCTCAGGACTCCAGGGGAGGTACTGGAGCCCTCATGTGCTTCTGCATCTTTGGGAAGAGGAAGGACTCAAGAGTCAAGCCAAAAGCAGATCTGTTTAGTTCAGAGAATATTGTGATGTTCCAGCACAATCACTTTGTGAAATGCCAGGCCGATCCTCTGGGTCCTTTTATAATCACATCAGTTGGCAGTTTAGTTAAAAACAAACACACCAAATAATATGCAGGCTCCATTTTTCTGCTCTGGACTTCACTTCAGTACTAACCTCTGTCCTGGCTGATTTCCACCTCCCTGCCATAGAGGCTGCAGCAGAGATTTCAAGATACCCTCAAATCATCCCATTCTGTTTTTAGGTCCACCCAGAACACACTGCATGCAGAGAAAAGCAATACCTAAAAAACAGTCAGTGCTGTAATTTGTGTCCGCCAGGTGAGCCGCCAACCCCCTGGCCCCATAGTGGGACCCTTCTTGGTTTGCTGGCAGATGCAGACCCTATGTGTCAGCTGTCAACTTGAGTCTTAAATGACCCTGGGATTCTTCCCATCCCTGCCCTGCTCTCAGAATGTTCTGGGCTCCCTCTCTGCACTACCCAGCACTAGGGTTCCGGTCTCTCCCAAGGCCCCCACCAGATTATGAAGTCTGGAAGGCTCCGAGACAGTCATCTTTGAACCCCCCCACCCTAAACCCCAGCCTGCTCAGTTTTTGATAAGCATCTGACTCATTGAGCTGGCTGGAGCCGTCTCATTTCCCGATGTTTTCCAGGAGAGAAACTGGTGAATGACTGCACAGAGACCATCAACACAGAATGCACTCGCTGCAAAACAGGCGAATTCCTAGGCACTTGGAACTCAGAGAGACACTGTCACCAGCACAAATACTGCGATCCCAGTGCGTGGGCTCCTGGGGAAGGGGTGTGCGGGAGCTAGGCTGATAGTCTAGCTCATTCCTGACAATGCAGCCATTGGTTTTTGTTTGTTTGTTTGTTTGTTTGTTTTTGGTATAGCCCGGGTCTGTTCTGATTGGTTGCAGTCTGGGTTGTATGGGTTGTTAAATAATTTGATCCCCATCCCTCCTTGGAAGAGGGTCTCAGAAAATAAAAGCAGGACGTGTGAGGAGCAGATCCCTCGAGCATGGCTGCTAAGGGGTCCCCATCCCCATCCTTCCTGCCATCTCTGTTCAGACCTAGGGCTCCGGGTCCAGAGGCAGGGCACCTCAGAAACAGACACCACTTGCACCTGCCATGAAGGTCTCCACTGTACCAGCAATGCCTGTGAGAGCTGCACCCTGCACAGCCTGTGCCCCCCTGGACTGGGAGTCAAGCAGATCGGTATGTGGCCTGTCTGGGAGTCAGCTCTGCAGGCAGGAGGGAGGAGCTGAGGCTCCGGGTGAGGGGCTGGGCAGTGGGCACTCAGCCTTGACCCGCCTGCATTGGGATCTCTGCTTGGTGAGCAGGAAACGGAACCTTTCTCATCCGGCCTCCAGCCCTGGGTATCTGCCTTGGGAGGGCAGTGGGGGAGGAGGCTTCCACCGGGGAAGCTCTGTGCTGGGGGACAGCCCTTGAAACAGGCAGTTCTTCCTGCCCTGCCTGTCCGCCAGTTCCCTTGGGAGTCGGACAGGTGGTCCACTGTGATGATGAGTGCCGCCTCCTCCCTTCCAGCTACAGGGGTTTCTGATACCATTTGCGATCCCTGCCCCGTCGGCTTCTTCTCCAATGTGTCATCTGCTTTGGAAAAGTGTCACCCTTGGACAAGGTACAAGGATCCATCTCTGTGTTTCCTGCCCTAAGCGGGGCATGGGACTACTTCATTCTATCCGGCCCCCTGTCCCTCAGCCCCTGCTCCCCATGTCCACGCACTTGTGCACTTAGAGAACTTCTAGAGTGTCCTCGTGGCTGACCAAAAAGGCCACTTCTCAGCATTTTTTTGCCTGCTCTGTCTCAGTGGTAAAAGACGCTGCTGATCTCTCGGTCTTCACCAAACTCCCCTCTTGGGGGCACTGTGACGCCTCTCTTGCTTTCCTTCTACCCTGCCTCTGCTCCTCCTACCTGGTTTCCTTGGCCTTAGTTCTAGGATCTACTCCCCAATCACTTTGCCCACCTCCCCTGAGCATCTCATCTGTATCCATGGTTCCCAAACAACATCTCCTGTCTAGATCTGTCTCCTGGGTCCCAGACAGTCATATACCGCCACCGGGGGTCCACCTCCATGCAGGTGACCCACAGGTGACAAATGGGCTCACTTGCCTGCCCCCCTCACCCGCTGGGAAGACCACTCCCATGGGTCTGGGCACTTGTCCCATGGTCGCTCCCAAATCAGTCACCAGGTCCTGTCCATCTGGCCTTCCAGATGTTTTGGGATTCCTTCTCAGTATCTTCACAGTCATCGCTGTGGTCTGGATGGTGCCTTCACCTCCTTACCGGACTCCCTGCCTCTGCTCTCTCCCCCCACCCTCTTGCCACAGTGAGCTTTCTACAGTGTATTTCGGATCATGGTGCTCCCTATTTAAAATGTTTCATGGCTCTCTGTGCCTTTAGGACGAAACCCAGACTCCTTCACATGGGCCCCCAACCTTCCAGCTCCATTTCTTCCCCATGCTACTTGCAATCCCCTCAACACACTGTTCGTTCTCTTGTATCCAACCCTCCTGCTTGGAATACCCTTCAACTTGTGCCCGATTAACTTTCTACATTTAATTTTAAAAAGTGGGTGAGACAGGCTCGTGGGACACAAGGCACAAAGAGGCCTATGGTGATAAGTTTCCTTTCACCCACTCCCTGGATATAGCTCCTGTTCCTTGTGTGTCCTCCCAGAGATTCTTCGTACAAACAAATAAATGCACGCACATGCAAACACACGTATTTTCCACACAGATACTAGCATTCCCCACAATACTTTGTTATTTGGTTCCTATCTGCCTTGTTCCAGTAGACTGCAAATTCCTTTAGTGTAGAGACTTGGCTTTTTTTTTTTTCTTCCAACGATGCATTCCTTATGCCTAGAACAATGCCTGGTGCACAGTAGGTGCTCAATAAATCTTTACTGATAAATGATGAATGATACCCAGGGGAGCTGGGTTAGTAGAATCAGAACACTGTGTTCTGGCCTCAGTGCAGCTTAGAAAAGATATGATCCCACATAAGTGTGTGACCCTCCTCTGAGCCCCAGTGCCCTCATTGGGAAAATGGGAATGCCCTTCATCTCACAAGGCATGAGGAAAAGAAACGTAGGAGTGACTTGTAGATGCCTAAGCACTCTTATATATGTGCTTTCTTTGTAGCTTCTCACCTTTTTCCCCCACTTTAGATGTATTTTTCCTGGCGATGTTCTCTTCTGTCCACTCCTCCCCACTCCTCCTGGAACCATGTCTTCATCATCCCATATTGAGATGCCTGCACGGGCCTCCTGGCTGTCCACTTGTCCGTAATTTCTCCTCCTGTGAGCTCTCTGGCCCCCTGAGTTCTGTCACTCTGTGGTCATCTGGTTGGATGCTGATGCAGCTTACCATCTGCATCTGGTTGAAACCTTCATGGCTGATTACCAGTGATCTGGTCCTAAAGCCCAATTTTCCTTAGTTCCCTCACACCATCTGGCATGCCCCCCACTGAATCCCTCAAATCATGTTGTCCTGCTTCAGCTAGAATGTATTGCTGCTCTAAATTTACATCCTTCAAGGCCACTCAGATCTCCCTTCCCTACGACAGTCTTTCTGGACGACCCTTAACCAGAGGTTCTCAACTTGAGCAATTTTTCTCCCCAGGGGACATCTGGCAATGTTTGGAGACATTTTGGTTGTCACAACTGGGGAGGGGCTGCTACTGGGATCTAGTGGGTGGAAGCCAGGGGTGATGCTTAGCATCCTACGGTGCACAGAACAGCCCTGCAACAGAGTTATGTGGCCCCAAATGTCAGTAGTGCTGAGGCTGAGAAGCCCTACCTTAGACTGACTCATCACCCGTCTCTTCCAGCCATTGTAGGCTTTGTCTCCCCTTCTCTGAATGATTCCCAGTTCACTTCAGCCTATGTGACAAAGCATGGCGCTCTGTAGAGACTATCTGTTTATTCCTCCTTCAAGATGTGCAACAATTTTTTCTCTGAACTCATGAGTTCCATAAGAACAGAGTCTGTGTCATTCCCATAATAACCGGCATGGGACGTTGCCCACAATACGTGCTCGGTGAACCTGAACTTGTTCGTTTTGACGGTCTCCCTCTGGGGTTGGAAATCTTATGGTTGGGGAAATTTCATGTCTTTTTTCTGTCTCTGTGTCGTGTGTGTGTGTATGTGTGTGTGTGCACGCACACGCATGCACATCTGTCTGTGCACAGCTGCGAGACCAAAGGCCTGATGGAGATTCAGGCGGGGACTGACAAGACGGATGCTGTCTGTGGTGAGTCTTGGAGAACGGGCCCTGGCAGCAGGCTCAGGAGGCAGGGAGCTCAAAGGGAACACAGGGGCACACAGAGACAACTGGGCCGGGGGCAGGGGGGAAGAGGGAGAGCAGGTGAAGTGAGAGGAGAGGGCAGTTTTGGGGGTTGAGGCATTCCAGCTTTGCCACTTACCTGAGGAGCCTGAGCAAGTCACTTCCCTACTCTGAGCCTCAGTTTCTTCATCTGTGAAATGGGATGATAACAGCAGCTCCCTTAGCAGCTTGAGGGAAGTGCCTTGCACGGGTTCTTGCACGGTTTCTTGCACTTTCGAGGTGTTCCAGCAATGCTGTTCTGCCACCCTGCCTTTCAAGCACCAGCATGGTGGGACACTGTTCCTCTCAGGGCCTTGGTTTTGATTTTAGAATGAGGGGTTGGCCTACAGCACAGATCACAGACTCAAATAACTGCAGGGACCAGGCAGGTCATGTTGAGGAGTTGAAAAATTAACGGTTAAGACAAAGACACTCTCTCTGTTCTTTCTTTCTTTCTTTCTTTTTTTTTTTAAGATTTTACTTATTTTTTGACAGAGAGAGACAGTGTAGAGGGAACACAAGCAGGGGAAGTGGGAGAGGGAGAAGCAGGCTTCCTGCTGAGCAGGGATCCCAATGCAGGGGTCGATCCCAGGACCCTGGGATCATGACCTGAGCCGAAGGCAGACACCTAACGACTGAGCCACTCAGGCGCCCCTCTCTCTGTTTTTTAAGACCCACTTTCCTCTTGGCAGGGCTGGGACTGGAGTGAGGAGAGTGAGACACTTGCCTTGGATGCAATATTAAAGGGGGTGAGAGAAAAACGCAGTCATCAAGATAAATAACATTTGATACATTTAAAAGAAATCAAAGCTAATGTATAAAAAAGCCCATAATGAACAAAATATCAAAATTGACATAAAAACGTGATCCAGCCCTGCCTCACTTGCCTCAGTCTAATTCCAGCCCTGGTTCCAATAAAACTTTAAAAAAACAGACAGCCAGGGGTATCTGGGTGGCTCAGTCGGTTAAGCGTCTGACTCCTGATTTTGGCTCAAAGTCATGATCTCAATTTCGGCTCAGGTCATAATCTCAGGGTCGTGAGATCAAGTCCTGTGTCAGGCTCCCCATTCAGTGGGGAGTCTGCTTGAGATTCTCTTCATTTCCCTCTGCCCCTCCCCCCACTAGTGTGCTCTCTCTCTCTCTCAAATAAATAAATAAATCTCAAAAAAAGAAAAAAGAAAAGGCAGCCGGCCTGTAAGCTATAGTTTATTAATATGATTTTTCAAAACATGACATTAAAATATTACTTTTCTTGATTACTGAGTTTTTTTGGTGTCCCCTTAGATTTTGTCCCAAGGTGAATGCTTCATTTGCCTTCCCCTAGTCCCTGCCATGCATCTTTCATTTTCCCATTTAGGATCGAGACTTAGGTCCAAGAATTACTTTACTTTTCCCTCCATGCTTCTTTAACAAAGGCCACAGTGCAGACATAAATGCTGATGGACCTCATCACTGGGCAGAGAGTGGGGAGGGATGGGGCATGTGGGCAGCTGGTGGAGACTGCTACCACTCCTCAGTTCTAGTAAGGGGTGGCAGGTGGGGCTGGATCTTCCAAACTTCTAAGAGAAGCCAGATATCCTGACTCTAAATATGCCATCTCCCAATTTTAAAAAGTTGGCAAATATTTCAAGAATTCTTTTTTATTTTTATTTTTTTAAAAGATTTTATTTATTTATTTGAGAGAGAATGAGAGATAGAGAGCACGAGAGGGAAGAGGGTCAGAGGGAGAAGCAGACTCCCCGCTGAGCAGGGAGCCCGACGTGGGACTCGATCCCGGGACTCCAGGATCATGACTTGAGCTGAAGGCAGTTGCTTAACCAACTGAGCCACCCAGGTGCCCTCGAGAATTCTTTTTTAATGTGCTGGTCACACTAAACACATCCGGCCACATTCTCCCAGGGCCACCTGTTTGAACCGTCGGATTTTAGATGAGCTCAGCCACTGAAAGATTTTAGAGTCCAGCAAAGTGTGGCAGCCTTAGGCATGGGGGTAGGGGGTTGCCGCTGGTGGGGAGCCATCATTGAAGTCTTGATTTCTCTAGGTCCCCCACCTCGGATAAGAGCCTTGGTGGTGATCCCCATCACGATGGGGATCCTGCTTGCTGTCCTGTTGGTGTCTGCCTGTGTCAGTGAGTCCCCAGGTGGGGAGGTGATGAGGGAAGAAGGGAGGGAGGAGAAGGTACAGAAGTGACCACCTGTTTCCTGATCTGGCTTCAGCAACTCCCCATCCCATTTCTCTCTCTCTCTCTCTCTCTCTCTCTCTCTCTCTCTGTCTAGGAAAAGTGGCCAAGGAGCCAGAGAATAAGGTAGGTCAGCCCCGGGCACCGGCTCAGGGTTTTGGCAAACTGGAAAGAAAGCCTGACTCATTGTTGCCTCTGTGGCAGGAAAACTGATTCAGGGTCTGCCCCTGTGGTCCCCGGGAAGGCAGCAGTAGCTACTCTCACCGCCAGTGCTGGGCTGCAGGGAGGGTTCTTCCCATTCCCTCCCTGCCACCACCAACCTCTGTCATCTCCAGAGCTCACCCCCCCGCCCCAGAACAGCCCCGGCACTATTGGCAAGATCTGACGTTTCCTGGCATTTTAATACGTGGGGAACCATGTCTCTGGGGCCTTGGTGCCAGGTCATTGGGTGGGGGCTGGAGGGGCAGCTCCTTGGATCCGCAGGCTCCCACTCTGGAAGCTTCTTGACACTCTTTGTGTGGCCTGCAGGGGGCAGGAGGCACCCATTGAATCAGCACTGACCCTCCCTTTGGGAAAGGGGAAGGGGCTTGTGTTTGGGGGAGGGGTCTCCTTCTGAGGGAAGGGCTACTGGAGGTGTTGCGGGTTGGGGGGCGGTGTAACCTCATGCCTCGGCTCCCCTAAGGCTATGTGGCAGGACCCCGTGGAGGACCTGGAGGATCTTCCTGTGCCCGCCCAGTCCATTGCTCCGGTGCAGGAGACCTTACACGGCTGCCAGCCGGTGACCCAGGAGGACGGCAAAGAGAGCCGCATCTCGGTGCAGGAGAGAGTATGAGGCAGCGTGTGCCCAGGAGTGTGGCAGCAGGGGAAGACGGGCGCGCGGCCGCAGAGCCTGGGGAGCCTGGAGCTGCCGCGGGGGCTGCTGCGCTGGGCGTCAGGGGGCGGGGCACCCCCCCCCTCGCCGCGCACCCCTGTGGTGCAGAGACAGAGAACCTTCCACCCCCGCCCCCGGAGCCCAGGCCATCTCCCAACTTGCTTTTAAAGATGGAGGCGAAACTTTTTGGCGGCCATGTAGTAATACCCACCAAACCCTCCAACTCAGCAGTTCAGTGCCCAGAGAGATGATCGTGGTGGTTTCTAGGAGCCCAGGAAGACATATACGCGAATATCCGTTGCGGCGTTGTTTGTGATAGTGGACGACTAGAAGCCACTTAACTGTCCATCAGCAGGGGACTAGCTAAATAAAATTGTAATATATTTATACAACAGGATCCCAAAAACTGTCGTGGGAAAAAAAAAAGGTTGCAGAATGATGGGTCTGGAAACATTTTTTTTTAAAGCACATACCCCCTAACAATAGGATATATCATCCACGGATACGTGTATAAACATAACATACCAATGTATATGTAGGTATGACAAGTGTTCTGGAAGGATACACAGAAAACGCACAGCTTCAAGAGTTGCGATGTCTGGGTTGGGGAAGAAGGGTTGGGGAAGGGTTAAACGAAGATTTGACTTTTTTCCCCCCAAAAGAGAGTGAGTTCATATAATCCTTATGTAATTAAAAAAGTCATCAGAGGCGCCTGGGTGGCTCAGTCGTTAAGCGTCTGCCTTCTGCTCAGGTCATGATCCCGGGGTCCTGGGATCCAGCCCTGCGTCGGGTTCCCTGCTGGGCGGGAAGCCCGCTTCTCCCTCTCCCTCTCTCCCTGCTTGTGTTCCCTCTCTCGCTGTGTCTCTCTCTGTCAAAAAAAAAAAAAAAAAAAAAAATTAAAAAAAGTCATCAAACATGTATAAAGGAAAACGGGGGTGGAAATGCTGGGTGACATGAGCTGTTTAACTTGCTGCCAGGCTCACAGAATTGGGGCACTTTCTGAGGATAAGAAGAACATCCCCAGGCTGCTGCCCTTCCCTGGGCGGTTTCCATGTGTGCTCACATTTGGCATTATGTTTGCAAAGCACTCTCCTCATTTTATTCATGTTCATAAAAAACAGCCTTGAGGGCATTCAGGGTCCAGATCCCTTCCTCTTTAACAGAGGTGAAAATGGGAGCCCAGGGAGGTGAAGGGACTTGCCTGTGGTCACACAGCAATTCTCAGTGGCGCCACTCAGAGCTCGCCACCCTTGGTCCTATGCTGCTCCTTCCAGATCTTCCTGCTCCCTGGAGCCTACATCTGTAGCTCCTTCCCCGGGGAGATCCTGGGCCTCCCACTTCCTTCTGACCTCCCAACTGCTACAGGAGCTGCTGCTTCTTGGTCAGATGATGCCCCCCCCCAGCAGTATCTTAGGATAAAAATAAACCATCCTGTTCTCTTTTCCTGCTGTGCCAACTGAGGGGGAGCCTAGCCAGGAGGAGTAGCAGATGGAGTGGGAGCAGAGGGGAAGGGAGGGGAGGGGAGTGGAGGGGAGGGGAGGAAGGTTGTAGGACAAGGAGAGGGAAGAGTCACACATAGGCCCTGCACAAAGATTCATGGTGAGGATGAGACCATGCTGGTTCAACCCAGGGGTCTCAACCTTTCCCCCAGCAAGAAGCAGCTTTGGATTTCCTCGGTGTGTCCTGCTGGCTGGAGGGTGGGGGTGGAGAGGGCTTGTCCTGGATGGAGACTGAGGGCAGCTGCGAGCCAAGAGAAGGGCACCTGGCTTGGCAGCCTTCCCAGAAGAGCTTTAAGAACCATTTGGATGCACCAGGTGGAGACGTTTGGTTTAGAAAGCAGAACAAAGTGGTGGTTGTGGAGTGGGGGGAGGGGAGCTTTGGGACCGCACCCTTATCCTCTACCTAGTGTTCAAATCCTAGTGTCACTCACTTCTGTGCAGGGTGGTTTGGTGGAAAGAGGCAAAAGACCCTCCTCTGTCCCCTATTGTCTGTGTGACCTTGGGCGTGTCATTTTCATCTCTGAGCAGCTCAGCTTCCTCATCCGGCAAATGGAGACCATACCTGATACCTGTAGTAGGTAGTATTGAGTCCTCTTTGTGTTCTTCTGGGTCAGAGGTTCTCAATCTTGAGCGTGGGTCAGAACCACCTATCAGACTTATTAAAAGATTGCTGGGCCCCACGGCTAGTGTTTGATTGAGTAGGTCTGGGACAGAGCTCAGCCATTTGCATTTTTAACAAGTTCCTTAGGTGATGCTGATGCTGCTGGTCCAGGGACCTCACTTTGAGAACTACCGCCTTCCCTCGGCATTCATATTTCCAGATAAGCAGTTAATGGGATCAATTGCCTTGGGGCTTTCCCTGGTCTCGAAAGCATGCTTGGTGCAGGTGTGCCAAAGTTCAGCTGTACCTGGGAGAGTTAAGGCCCCAGAATACTCTCAACCAAATAGGAATGAGAGGTGGAGGGTAGATGCTCCAGCCTCCTTACCCTTGGGAGGGACAAATCTGAAGGGTGGTGCAGGTTTTCCTAGGTTTCTTAGCAGGATCGAGCCCTGGGGGCCCCTCCTGGCTTCCTTCCCTCCCCGTCTTCCCCACCCGGCATTCCCGCACTGATGCTTCTTGACTTCACCCCCTCCAATAAACTACCTGCGTTCTTTCCTTATCACAAAGTCTGTTTCTGGGAGGGGCTCCCCCTAAGAGTCAGTAGAGCTCATGCATGAGAAGCTACAATTTTATATATCTCAGAGTCCCTGACAAAGGGAAGGAGTTCTTGACATCTGTAGCAAGTTCTGGGTTCTAAACGGAGCTCAGCCAGAAACTTTCTTTGTGGCCTTGGGAAAGTTACTCTCTGGTTCTGGAAATTTTCCCTCCCGATGTGTGATGAAGGGCTGGTACCCTAGGAATTCTAAGGGTCCCGCCACTTCTAAAAGTAAGAGAAGAAAATCAACCCGCTGCAGGAGCCGCTCTGGCTTGTGGTTGGGGTGGGGTGGGGTGGGGTGGGTGTGAGGCCTGTATCAGCCAGAAGGTGGCGCCAACGTAACGTGCGAAGACCCTGGCGGCTGGTTTTTTGCGGACTTTGAAGCTACCGTCCCCCCCTCACTTTGGAGAAGAGGCCTTTCCTCTCTCGGGCCCCCTAGCTCTGAGCCTCCTGCTACCTGTATCCTGCATCATCCTCCGTTTCTGGCGGTTTGGAGGCCACCTTCTCCACTGCCTCCTTCCTTGGACAGGCATCAGCTACATTCCTACTGAGGCCTCATCCCGAGCTAGGGCTGTGCACGGAGTCGCTGAGAGTGCGCATGGATCGAGCGCTCGCTATGTACTAGGCACCGTGCTAAGAACTTCATACACATCGTCTTAGTCCAGAGGACGACCGTCCATAATGCACAGTCTCATAACACCCATTTTACAGGTGAGGCTCAGAGGCTGAATGACTTGCTAAGGTCCGAAAGTTAGAGCCGGGATTTGGGCTGAACCACAGCCTGCGGCTTTTGCCGGTTCACGGAGCAGGGGAACAGGTGCATGTCACGCAGGGCCATTAAGAGGGAGTGTGACTGTCCACAGCAGAGCAAAAGCCCGGAGCAGCTAACCTCCAGGACAGGGGTTGCAAAGTCACTTGCACAGGAGCTCAGAGTGAAGCGGGGCCCTGGGCAGGAAGTCAGGAAGGCAGAGACTATGACAAAGTGGGGAGGCTCTGCCTATCTCGGGGGGGGGGGAAGTGTCCATCAGTCCCTTTCCATGTTGCCCTGCAGGAATGGCAGTTGGATATTGCTTCAAATCCAGATTTCCATGTGAAATCTCTCAATGTTGAAAGGCTACCAATTCTAAGAATTTAAAAAGTCGGTGAGAACCCAAGAAAGCATGCCATAGAGGGTTGGAATTAAGAGACTGGGAACGTCATTGTGTCTGATCCTTTTGTTTTATATGTATGGAAACTGAGGCCCTGGGAAGGTCCAGAACCAAGTGAGGCCGAGGGTCAGAGGCAGGCTGTCTCTTTCCTCCGCGTCTCAGCTGGCAGGCTGGAGGGAGCTCCTGGGGGCCTAGGTTCCACCCACATCTAAGGTATTGAAAAGCTCTAGGACTCAGGGAATTGCCTTGGGACTGCCATGAGGAGCTGGGTGTTTGTGTCCTTTCCATTCTGTGCTGCCCCCCTTCCTGCCCCCCACTGCCAGCTCACCTTCCCCCCCAGGCAGGCGGGTACGCACAAACCCTCCCCTGCAGCCTGCAGGGCCTGCGGCAGATTCTTTGGGCAGCAGAAGTTATTAAAGACTCTGCCCCGAAGGATTTCTCTCCCCCAGAGTGATTCTGGAACAGAAAATTAAAAACCCACCAGCAGGGGTGGGGAGATACAGTTTTAATTCGTAAAAAAAAAAAAGGAAAAAAAAACCCCATGCTGTGGTCCTGGGGTCTGGGGGCTGAGGGAAGCTCAGGGGAAGGCTCCTCTGGGACACTGCAGCACTGTTAAGGGAGGGGGGTTCTGGGAGGGGCTCAGCAAGGTCAGTGAGCAGCTTCTGCCCAGACAGATGGGGCCGATGGGCCGGGAACGCTTCTTCATTCCTGTCCCCCTTCCTATCCCTTGGGCTCTCTGCCTCTCTCCCTGCAGACAGGGGCGACCCGCTGGGCCTCGGTGCCCAGAGACTTCCCTGCGGCTGCCTCCCTCCAGGACTTGGCCCACCCCACCCGCAGTCTCTGCCCGTCCCTCCACCCCCCTCCCTGCGGTCTGCCTGCTCCCTGCCCACCCACCTCCTTCCTTCTCCAGGCAATTCCATCTCCCCTTGTTCTCTTTCGAACAAGTGTTATTTTGGTTAATTATGAAAATCATACCTGTGCATTGCACCACCCCCATCTAAGCAATAAACAGGAAAATAAGACCACCTGTAAGCCTCCGCACCAACCCTGTCAACCACAAGTTACAGGTCCTTCCAGACTTGTTTTTTGTGCCAAAAATACTTTTTTTAACTTGGGCT